CTCTCCCCCCCCAGGAGCACCCCCGAGGCAGGGGGTGCCATGAAGCCTGTCACCAAACCCAGGTGACAGCATGACCCCAAACAGGGACAGGCTTTGTCTCCATGCTCTGCAGAGGGGTTGTCCCCAGTAGATTAGTGGTGACATCCCAATCCCAGCTGGACAACGTGTCTCTGCCAAGTCATGAGGACTCTACGGAACGAGCTGTGCTGTGTCCCCATGGGTGGGGGGGGCGGGTGATGCCAGCCCAGGTGGTCCTGGTCTTCATTAGTCCCTTCAGATCTCAATGCAGCACATTGCCTGTAATTAATTTGCTTTGTTAAGAAAGCGCCCTGCTGTCACTAATTAAGCATCTGTAATTACCCAGACTGCTGGCTTTGTGCCTGAATGCAGGGCTCCCTCCACGCTGGGGAGGGGGTGAACCTCTTGCAGCCGCTGGGGAGGGTGTATCAGTGCCTGATGGGGGTCCTGGGGCAATATAAGGAGTTGCTGAGGGCTGGTGCTGGGAAGCAGAGTGGGATGCTCCTGGCTGAGCACAGCATGGGGGGACCTGGACCTGGACCTGGACCTGGACCTGGACCTGGACCTGGACCTGGACCTGGACCTGGACCTGGACCTGGACCGCAGCTCGTTCCTGGTGGGGGGGCGGTCAGGGCAGCAGCCCTGATCAAGGGGATGCCAGCAGCCCTGATAAAGGGGATGCAGTATGGGTGAGCATGGAGTTCCCTTGGACTCAGTGTCCCCTCTGCTCACCAGGAAAAAAGGGGCAGATGCATTTTGGGTGCTGGAAGCTGTCCCCTGCCTCTGCTATCTCCCCAACCTCACTTGGGGGTGACAGCCCTGCTCTGACCCCAGTGGGGTGACAGGCCAGTTATCAGGAGGCTTTGCCTTAAAAGCAGAGCTCCTAGCTAGAGACTTCAGGGCTGGTGGTCATCTGGAGCTCAGAGCATGCAGAAAGATGGTGCCCAGGCAGTTGCACCTTAAATCCCTTCCTTCTGCACCCATCAGGAACAGGGACTGCCCTGTCTATCCTCTGGGGTCCCTATGGAAAGGAGGGCTCGTCCTCCCTGAGCCCATGACTGAGCTGTGCTCTGGCACAGGCAGATCTTCCCCTGCAGCAAAGCTCAGCCTGGCTCCTGCGGAAGCTGGAGAAGCAGCTTCTCAATGGGGAGCAAAAGAGCCACGTTGACGTGCAGCATGAAGGCACATCTCCAGCTGGGAGCACCCCGAGAAGCTGCGAGACTGGCCAGGCAGAGCAGCAAGAGCAGAAGTGAAGGAGACCATCCAAAAACTGAGCTGAGTTTGATGGGAAACCAGGCTGGTGCACAAAGGTTTCCATATCCATACAGACAGAAAGGGGAGGAGGACAGGAGTCACCTGGGGATGGGGTGGACAGGAAGGGTGGGCTCAAGATATGGCCCAATCTTAGCGTGAATATGAGAATAATGAGAGGATGAAGCAATGGGGATTGCAACACCCGTGGTGGAAGCAACCCTTGGAGCTCTCTCTGGGTCACACTGGTTGAACTGGGGCACCCTTCAGCCGGCAGCATGGAGCCCACCGCACAGCCAGCAGCCCAACGGCACCTGCTTGCACCCACATCAGCGGGGACAGGGAGAAGGTGTGGGTGGAAAGAGCAGCCATGGGCATGGAGGGGAAGGGAGCAGGAGAGATGCAGAGTGGTTTTGCTGAAGGTAGGCTGTGTCGGCTGAGGGGCAGGGCTGCTGGGTTTGACCCAGGTGATGTGACGTCTCTCCCCAGTCCCATATCATGGGACTGTTTGCCCCAGAGCCCTGGCGGGGTTGTTACGGAAAGGCAGGAGTGAAGCTCTCTGCTCGCAGGCTCCTGCCCCAAGGGTCAGAGATGAACCGATGGGTCTGGGCAGCAGCGTGCGGATGTCCCTGGCTGGACTTGGGACACGGAACAGCGGGCTGGGAGATGCTGCTGGTGGCTGAGACCAGGTCAGAGTTATCTCTCCAATGACAAGCACTTGCTTTTTAAAAGCAAGACCAGAGTTTCCACAGGGCAACCCAGAGCTGGCCTGGATCCTGCGTGCCCAGCGCGGAAACAACAGAGCGGGAGTAGAGGCTAATTACAGCCCTCTGCATGCTGATTGCACCGATGTAAACACCTAACGCAATGCAGCCCCTGGCTGCCAACTGGGGCGAGGGCTGGCATCTCCTTCAGCCCAGGGTGGGGTGGCAGGGCTCAGACCCCTGTGGCATTGCTTGGACCTTGGTGACAGATGCTGGGCCTTGGGAGAGGAAGGGCAGAGGGGCTCCTGCAGCCCAAACTGGGGGGGAAGCAGAGAGATGGGAAGCACTGGTACCACCTGCTTGCTGTAGACTCAGGCAGGGAGCAGCAGGGAGATATCTTCCAATAATCTGATACTCTGCAGGGTGAGGTTTGGGCATTAGCCACGATGCCAACAGGGATCTGCGACAAGCCTTGCCGGGGTGATGGGCATGGACCAGAACCAGCTCCTGCTGTCCCTACCAGCTGAGATCCCCCTTTCCCAGGGTTGGGGTCCTTGTGGCCAGGGGAGGTGCCCAGAGCATGGATGCTTTTGTGGGCAACAGATCTGATCGCATCAAGCTGGAGGCACTGCGGTGGCTTTTAACAGCCCAGGAGGGCACTTATCAGCAGTGACACCTTGGGTGACCCAGAGTCCCCAGCGTTGACTCACCACCGCTCTCCGCCCTTGGTGGGGTAGCCTGCCTCCCACCTGAGCCAGTCCATCCTCAAGCCTCTGTACAGGATGAGATACACACAGCACCTTCCCCTGGACCAGCCCCAAACGCCCACGTACTGCTCTGCTGATACTGATTCACCTGCCACGTTCCTTGGTATCCCCTGCTCCACTCGCCCGGCTCCTGGGGACGCGGGCTGAGCTCCCCAGCATCCTCCCGCTGGGGCAGCGTGATGGAGGTGGTCCTGCTCCATGGGCTGCTGTTCTTCCTCCCCTTGGCAGCCCTGCTGCTTTACCGGTACAATGCCACCTTCCACTACTTCTGCAAGGTGGCCTTCTTCAACTGCTGGATCGTGGCCATGGCCACCCTCCTGTCCCCCTTTGCGGCTCTTCGGGGACGCTCCGTGGAGAACATGAAGTGAGTATGGCCTGGAGATGTGCTTCTGATGTGGGGATGGCTGGGGCTTGGCTGCGATGGAGGAACTTATGTGGTCTTGTGGACACATGCTCTCTCCTGTTCTGGGCATACCCACAGCCATGTTGTGGCCAGTGGTTGAGCCCTGGGGCCACAGCGAAGGCTGCGGTCGTGTCCATGTGGCAATGAAGGGTGCATCTGCATCTTGTGGTGTGGTGGAGAGGTGCTGGCCATGCCCAGGGAGGGTTGCACCCTGGAGGTGGCCAACTGGGTCAGGACTAGTGGTCACTGGAGGATGAAGTAGCGTAAAAGAGATCATTCTTGGCCATCACAATGTTGGGGTCATCAGTTTGGGTGGGTGATAAGGGAGGTTTTGGCAAAGGTTGGAGGTACAATCATTAGCGGGATGCAAATGCACACCCATCGCTGTCTCCCTGGCAGTGCAGCCAGGTCTTGCTCAACGGGAGCCCCGGAGACCGCGCTTTGGCAGAGGGGTTTTGGGATGTCTCGGTGCCATCAGCTGTTGGGCATGGCGCAGTCATGTCCCTGCGAGTCGTGTGCTGGGGCCGTCAGCTGTGCTCAAGGGTGGTGGCAGCCAAGATAACATCGCTGTGCAACACGAGAGGAAGGTCTGGTTGCTTTCAAGGGTGTTGCAATCTTGTTACTGGATTCCTGGGCATGATAGCATACCAGAAGGGTTATAATTATGTCAGAGTGAAAAATGTCTGAGCTTGTGGTATTTTGCTGAGCTCGAGCCATCACGTATTTGTGCTGATGGATTTCGGGCCCTCGGCAGGAGCGTGGTCAGAGGTTTGATGTTATTAGTCCATCGTGTAGCCTCTCTCCCTCGTCCTTTCTGTGCAGAAATACTGTGCACACACGCACACATCTGGAGGTGCTCCGAGCCCTGGCGCAAACGCTTCCGGCTTAGTGGAAATACCCGGCGTGATGCAGCGGTGACTCACGCTGCCTTATCTTGTCACACCCCGCAGCCATCCTCCGCTGAAGCAGCACGCCCAGCTCCGTCTCCTCCTCAGCCACCAAATCCCAAAGCCTCCGGCTTGGAGCGTGTTCCTGTCATTAGTCCTGGCTTTGGGGCATTGCCACAAGTGTTTTGCTTCTCTGCAGACACCGGGATCTCTGAGTCTGTGTCTCCCAAAGGATGGGTGGTCTTCTGATACAACGGACCCTCTAAGCATCGCGACTCCTTCTCCCTCTGTGCCTGCCTCTACTCTCTCCTCCCAGACTTCTCATCCCTACCTGGGGCTGAGCCCTTCCCTGTCCCCTGTGGGCTCCCTGGGACCACTCGCTGCCAGATGTGTGGACCCTGGCATGGGTGCTCTTCGTGCTGTGGGTTAGAGAGTGCCCCGTTTCAACACCGAAAGCGTACCAGCTTTTTATCTCCACTGTGGGTGCTGCAATCCCCGTTGCTCCATCCTCCTTCCATTCCTCTCGTTATTCTCATACTGAGCGTCACCCTTCATCAGCACTGCCATCCTGATGTTACCCTGCCTGTCCGACCCTCCCTGGATGGTGACACCGCTAAGATGAAACCTCCATCTCCTCGTGACACTGCAGGTCCAGTGAAGCTATTCTTTGTGATTTTTCTTTAACGAATGAAGCTGAGTTGGTTTTCCCTTCCCTGCTCTCTTCCCCCCCCGCCACCTGCAGCACAAAGCTTGGTGCCTGCAGCACCTTTGGCTGCTCTGCAGGGACAGTCCCTGGAGACATCTGCATCCCTGTAGACCTGTCTGTCTCAGGACTGTTCCTCTGCATGTCCGTCTTCAGTGCTCCTCCATCTACAGCTCAGCACCTCTCGGCTGTGTGCCAGCTCCTCTGGCTTTCTGAGTTTCCAGCCCGCACACACAGATCCAGCTGTGCACGTGGGGGACCCTCGGGGTGAGGGTCACCTGGCCAGAGGCAGTTGTCCTCACTGGGATGTGATGATTTGCACCTTGGCTGCAGGCAGACATCCCATCCCTTCTCTTCTTGCTTTCCCATCATCCCTGGACATCAAAAAGGCTGTTGGTTTTATTTTTTCCTCCCACCAGCTTGTGCTGGCTGCTCTTCTTCAGCAGCAGCTCCAATACAGACTCTCTACTACTGAGACAGCAGCTGGTCTCACCTTGGGGATGGTTACAAGGTTAGCTCTGAGCTATGCAGGCTACAAATGTGCTTAGAAAAGCAAAGCATCACTGAGCCTGAACACAGATCCACCCTGGGACACACTATTTCCTCATGTAGACCAGATCTAGCCTGGCCCATCTTGCATCTGACTCCCTGAGTGGTTGTGAAGGGCTGGAAAAAATCAAGCAGCCCCGCTCCGTGTCGATCCGCTCCCCACGTGTCCTTCTGCCCTAGGCTCCTGCGTGCTGCGATCCTGCCCCTCAAACGCTTCTATGGCATCAAGATGCAGGTGTGGGGCTCTGAGCATCTGAACATCAAGGAGCCCTATGTGATAGTTTGCAACCACCAAGCTTCTCTTGACCTCATGGGTATGTGCAAGGGAGAGGGGGTGCTCATCACTGCATGGGCAGCCTTTGGGGTGCTACAGGGGTGGACCAGGCTCACCCTGGGGGGGTCCCAGCAAGGCCAGAACCAGGATTTTTACAGGGCAGTGTGGTAGGCATAGGCCAGCAGAGCTGGTGGGACTCAGGGCTACGGGTGTGCTGCAGAGAGAGGGTTGGGACAACGGAAGATGTTGCCAGGTCACTACAGCCCCCGGGCTGGTTGGTTCTGGGTGCCGTTGGGCAGGGACGGATCCTTTCCTCTCCCATCCATCCTCCAGGCATGGTGGAGGTCATTCCTGACCGCTGTGTGCCCATCGCCAAAAAGGAGCTCATGTACATGGGCACCGTGGGGTGGGCCTGCTGGCTCAGTGGAATCATCTTCATCGACCGCCACAAGAGAGAAGATGCAATCGATGTCATCTCCCAGACGGCCAGGACCATGCGGCGTGAAAATGTGAGGGGGGCTGGCAGCAGGGGGGAGTTGGGGAGCAAACACTGATGGGGCAAGGGGGGTGCGGGGAGGACTGACATAGCAGGTCCCAGGGTGCTCTGGTTGGGGTCCATGCTCATGTCTCTCCCTGTCCCGTGCAGCTCCGAGTGTTGATTTTCCCTGAAGGCACCAGGAACCAGGACAAATCCATGCTGCCCTTCAAGCGTGGGGCTTTCCACTTGGCCGTGCAGGCTCAGGTAAGGCCATCCTCCCCCTCCACTTGCCCTTGATGGAGCGGGGTGGTTGTGCACCTCGGGGCAGCGGGATGGGGGACATTAGGGTCTTTTGGGGTCTGCAGCCCCCAGGGACAGGCACCCTGCTCTGCAGGACCTAGGGAGGGGACGGGGACCTGCTGACGACTGGGGCACGCTGGAGTCTCACCTGGGGAGGGGGTCTGTACGGAGGACATCCCTGACCCTCCATCTCCTACAGGTTCCCATTTTCCCCATCGTGATCTCCCCATACTGGGACTTCTTCAGCTCCAAGGATAAGAAATTCACCTCAGGTAAGTGATGGACAAGAAGCCCCGTTGCTGGAAGGCAGGGCTGGCGGTGGGGATGAGGCACGTGGGGGTTCTTTGTGGGACATTGAGGCGTGGGGAGGCAGCTGCTGGTGGAGGGTGCTGGTGGGCAGACCTGGTTCCTGGTGGGTTCATCTAACAGCATCCCCGGCCTTCCCCTTCTCTCGCCAGGGACGTGCACCATCCGAATCCTCCCCAAGGTAGAAACCCGGGGCCTGACAGCAAAGGATGTCCCCGAACTGACAGAGACTGTCCGCCAGGCCATGGCTGATGCCCTCGCCGCGATGGCTGTC